ACATGGAAGAAGCACAACAGCATGTGTGACCACGAGCTGTCAAATGGATCAGGTATCAAGCATCCAAGAACAAAAAATCATATCATTGTAAAGGTGGGTGAGTGCAGAGTGGAGACTCAAAGCTCATCGGTGGGGCAACTGAATACCCCCTTACTGAGGGGTTGTGGGGAGAAGATGAGCCAATCAGGGTGCAGGGTAGCAACGATGAAACATATAATTTTCTTCTAGTTCTTTAATGCTTCCTCCCCCCCACTATCATGATCCCAATTCTACCTTACAAGTCTGGCTGGACCAGAGGATGTACATTGGTACAGACAGCAACTGGAAACACAGGGAATCCACGATAGATGACTCCTTCAGTACCAGTGGTGAGAGAGGCGATGTCTGGGGTAGAAAGAGGGAACCAATTACAAGAATCTAAGTATTGCCTCCTCCCTAGGGGATGGACAGCAGAGAAGAGGGCCGAGGGAAACATCGGACAGGGTAACTTATGACAAAACTATAATAATTTATGAACAATGAAGGGTTCATGAGGGAGGAGGGAGGGGGGGGGGGAAATGAGCAACTGATATTAGGGGCTAGAGTGGGAGGCAAATGTTTTGCAAATGATGAGGGCACCAAATGTGCATATGTGCTTGACACAATGGATGTATGTATGGATTGTGATGAGAATTATACGAGCCCCCAATAAAATAATATAAAAAAAATACTAGACATCAAAAAAATCTATTAAACAGATGTGGAGATATTTAAATGAGCTTAAAAATATATGTGAGTTAATTGAAAGAAATAATAAATAAGAGAAAATTGATAAATAAGAGGCAATGAGTTTGATTTGGGTTTCACAGAAATAGGCCATATTAATGTTCCAGATTAAGTTTTGAAACTTAAATATATATATATTTCTTTGGTTGTGCTATCTCATGAAAGATAAAGCCAGTTTCTGTGCACTTTTCTAATGGCCATTTGTCCCAGAAATCGATTATACCATAGATTTTAGGTTTATATACGTGTGTATATGTGTGTGTATGGAAGACACAACCATTTAAAATGAAAAGATTGGCTATTGTAGAATTCTCCTGTTACCTCTAAAGATACCAGACTGCTTCCTAAGCTTCCATCACCATTGTACCTTCTTCCACAGTTGTTCTCAATTGAAGATGACCCTTACAAATTTTCACCCCACCTTCATGGGTCATGCTTGGGAAGGTAGGATACCAGGGGATGTGAGTTTTGCCTAAGTCTCCACTGAGTGGCCCTAGGTTTTGCCTCACCACACTCACTCACTCCCCTCTAGGGGAAAAAGTAAGTTCTGCTGCTGCTAACAGCCACTTGTCCCCAGAGTATAATTAGTTCCAGAGGTCTTGAGAAAAGAGCCAAGAGGGAGCCAAGCAAGATAGAATTTCTTTTTTAAAAAAAATCATTTTATTAGGGACTCATACAACTCTTATCACAATCCATACATACATCAATTGTGTAAAGCTCATTTGTACATTCATTGCCCTCATCATTCTCAAAAGCAAGATAGAATTTCAATGTTCACTTCAGGGTCAACATCCACTTCTGGTCTGGGTTGATAAATCATCTAGGCTTATAATTCATTTGGATGTGAGAGTATTTATATAACATCAACGTTCTGAGTAAGAAGATGGTGGCAGTGAGTCTAAGTCGAAGAAGAGAGAAAAATTTCATTTTCTATCTTAAAGTTCGTTATCAGCCTATTTAAATTCTGTGTTTCACTTATGTGGAGCAGAAGGACCTCCAGGGCTAGTCGATTTCAAACAGTATACTACATTGCACTCAGCTTCAGATGCCCTTCAATAGCTTATCTGAGAGTAAGACCAGACAAGACAACCACACCCAGTATTCTCCATTCCTTGTGTGTTATTTCATCATAACTTAATGTTTCTATGAAAACAAGTTGCTTTGGTCAAGGAATGAGAAGTGGTAGGTCCTTGAGTTGTGTTTTGGCGGTGAAGAGGTCGTGGGGTCCCAAGTACATTCTAACAGAAAGATTTCAAATGACTGGGAGGTAATACAGTAGGAATCAAATCCCTGACCTGCACACTTATCCAATTTATACAAAGTATATAATGATTGAAAAGTAACAGGATACCTGATGCAGAGGGAGGGATACACAGACCTCTTCCATCAGCTGGAGAACATGGGCGATATCCTCACTTCTTTCTAAGTGTGTGCAGTCCCTGAGGGGTGCTACCAGTGCATGCACTTGACTGCTAGCTGAAAGGATGAACGTCCAGTTCACTCAGAGGCCAGAGGCATCTTGGGAGAGAATCTAATGATCAACGCCTGGACAGGAAATAGCCATCGAAAGTCCTCTGGGCCACAGTGCTACTCTGATGGACATGAATCGCATCATCATGATTTAGAATCCACTCAACAGTAACTGGTTTATCACACACACACACAGTTTGCAAATAGTTCACATACATGACGGATGAAAATGACAAAAAGACGTAAAAGAGTTTGCCCATGCACATACCCTACATCTCAAGTCACACTCATTCAATGGTCCAAACATGTTACTTTTAGCATGACTGTAAAATAACGCTATGGAAGTCACAGATCGAGTTTTGCTGGGCCAGGGAATTGCAAAATAAACTATTCAAAGTGTACCTTTACTCTGGGGCACTTTGGGGCCAAGTCTGAGAGTAGTGGGGTTCCTTGACAAGCTGAGAGCCCAGGTTTGTGGAGCAGAGGGTCAGGCAGAGGGCTGCCACACGGACAGCACAGGCTGGTCCCACAGCAAGCAGAGATCACTTTCCTCAGATGGCCAGCTCTGCGCTTGTGGGCCCACCTGAAGCTAGACAGCAGAATGGGGTGAGAAAACGTTCTCAGATGTGCGCTGTGCTGAGCAGCCCGTTAGGCCATTCGTATTCTCGTGAAGGGCCCAAGAACCCCCTGGGCTTATAGTTCTCATGCCAGTCCCAAGGCATCCACGTGGGCAGGAGGCTCAAATGACCCTAGTTTGGATGGCGGAGTGGAATGCTTGCAACTGTGGTGTACTGTCCACCTGAGTGGTTCTCGGGCCCACATGTCAAATTCACATACTTCCTGGGTTAGAGCTGGCCATCCTGCCAAAGGCTATCTCCTAGGCAAAAAAACACACGATTTCTTCCTTCACCTGAGAAAGCAGTGTGCAGAGCAGGCAGGGAATTCTGCTGAGGGAGGGGCTGCTTTAGAAACTAAGGGTAGATGGGGAACCAAAGCTCCACAGCTGCCGTCACCAAGGAAAAGACTTAGCAGGGAGAAAAGGGCACTGAAGTCGTCAACATGGAGAACATTGGTACAGCAAACTTAAGGAATTAGCACACAGGGTTTGTTCAGTATGCAAAAACATGTAACCTGAGCATTACTTGTGTAAACTAGCAGTCACATGCCATGCACACTGTGCTTTCCCCTCAAATTACATGCCCAGTTAAATAATGCCCACAGAAAACCAATGTGTGAGGTTGTGTGTTTTGTTAAAAACCTACAGTGGGTGTT